TTTTACTTGTTGCAGGTTTTGGAGGAGGAAGAGAAGGATGTTGGGAGGGGTATTCACGTCTTAGTGTTGAACCAAGCTACTGGCAGTGTCATGGCCAGACGTGTCTTTGATACCTATGTGGCTCATGAAGATGAGGCTATGGTATTGTTTCTTAATATGGTATCTGATGGAAGGATTCTGATCTTTACTATTAAGGTTAGTATATGTACTTTCTTCATGGAATAAAGCAGTTGGGAATGTGCATGTATCTGGTGCGGACACATCAAATGTGAGGTATACATGTACCGGTTTGTGTTTTGCTTCATCTGCTATCTTCGTGGATGGGTTAAATTTGTTGAACTTGGGATACATATCTTGGAGTGTACTAATGGGTTAGACACATGCACATGTACAAAACCATGCATGCCTTCATGTACTTACAAACGAACATAATAATTCACCCAGCATTGTTTGTACTTTCTTGCTGGGCATGCTTGGTTCTAAAATTTTGTCAAAAGAATATAAGTGACCATCATTCCAAGCTTTCTCATCACTACGAGGTAAGATGTTTGGGCCGAAAATAATAAAAAGTTTGGACTTAAAATAACAAACATACACTACCAAAAATTAATGAGAACAATTAACAATACCGAAAATATGATGAAAAAGCTCTGTTCCACACAACATGTGTCGCAAACCAGGTCCAAAGTATTGATTAATCACTTTAGAATGATTGATTGATCACAATAGATTGATCACTTTTTATATATCCACTCACTGACAACAAAGCCACAAAAAAAGAAACTTTCAGAAACTGGTAGTAATCAATACAACAAAAAAGTAAAAAGAAATATTTATTATTATTTACAATATTCACAATATCCTTGACAGAACTTGTGAGTTTGGTTTTCAAGAGTTTACACCAAACTAAAATATATTAATCACAACATTACAAATACAAATTCATTACATTATTATCCCCCACATGAGTACTCATGCATGTCCTCCAGTGCGTCGTCTCACCACCGGCTGAGCGCTCTGGGGATCTCCACAGACTTGATAAGGTAGTGTGGTCACAAGTCCCTCTTTCTAGGTCCTCCGTTCCCACGATGCTATGGTTCTCTTCGGGGTAACGGGGGCAGCCTCTCCCTCAAAGAGGAAGATTCTACGACTGAAACTCCACTAAAGGGAGTCCTGTGAAATTCATAATTACAATGTACATGTATTAAGTTATTGCTGTATTTACAATAAAGCTCCAAAAATATGCAGAAATTATACCAAAAATCGAAGAGTTTTCTACGCAACACCATGTTGCATTAAATCTACAAAGGTTGGGCTGTGCATGTGTACACAATAGTCACTATGAATAATGCAAGCTGGGCGTTGCCGTTCTACAAACATGAATCCTAGCAGTATGCACTGGATTTCCACACGAACATGGACTGTATCTTATAAGAGGTAATCTTGACATTTCAAATTTATCTTGAATACAATAATTAAAGCAAAATGACTGAAAATTATACAAAATAGCTTTCTACAACAAAATACTCAACTTACAATTTTAAGATGATCGAACAGTCTTAAAGTCTGACTCCTTAGCTTGAAACAACGCTTTCCAATGAAGAAAATATATGATTTGGGCTATCGCCACAAACTATCTCTGTTTCTCAAATTATCTCATAGAGCTATCATTCAATCGCCGAAATCAAAATGTGCTATCGCACGATGACCGATCAGGAGTCTCCCTATGTCAAGATCTGTCTGCTGCCTCTCCAATGCTTCACTGCGGTTTTAACCCTGTAGAGATCACGCTAATTACTCTAAATGTCATGCAAATTTTGAAATTCCACATATTTTCAAATTTTTCCCGTGTCAACCGTATTTGGTCATATTAGTCCAAAAATTTACATACTACCCGTGTTACTATATGTACATGTAGGAAAGTGGGTCCTGAATGTATGCTGAATATTCATTATCCATGTACCAAGGTTTTACGCCCTCTTGTGACACTGTGTGTGGATGGGCTGTCATGTGGTATATATGTACTGGCCACTGAGTGTATGCTGGCCATGGTCTTACCAAAAATCGTCCTCATGAACCACAACAAAACATATCAAAGTAAATGCATCAGCAGAAACTACAGAGAGAGGAAGACAAAGTTTTGTGAATTCATCAGAGATTTTGATTTGAAACGTTTGGATCTTCCTTCCTCCATGGGACAACTTCGTACTGCCATTGCCAGCCATGCCATTGTGGCTGTGCATGTGGAATCCGGAGCTGTAGTCTGGCTTCTGACTCATCTACTCTTACTATTACTTAGTGGCATGGCGGGAACCAGTATTGTGCATGCCGTACATGATGTCTCCACTTGTGCATGTGTACGACGTGTGTGTATACATACATGTACATGTCCCGAGCTACATGTACATGTATTTATGTCGCATTGTGGAAGTTTCGCTGTTCGACTTTGGTTCATTTTGCCGATATTCTGGTAACTTTTCGTCAGAGGATATGTTTTAAATCTCTGATTGCAATGTTTCTTGATGTTAATATTAGCAATTCTTCCCCTGGAAAATACCATAAAATGTATTGATTGCGTGTTGGGGATTAATAGCCTGTCAGGGTTTTCGCTTAGTGTATCGGCCCAACATGTTTTTGAATGCCTGGCCAGAACACTGAACCACAGACACTGCGTTTACACTTGATCCGGCGAGGATGATCAGATCCGGATCAAAAACGTGTGTAAACGCAACGCTGGATCAGATCTCGGACTTTGACGTAACTACATCCGGTGCAAGTCTTGCAGCGAGTGAAAAACAAGTCTGTATCATCGTGAAGACCTACATGTCATGTATACGTACATGACATTGTACATGCACCATACATACGTTGTTGGTCCGACCACTATGTACATAACCAGCATTACGCTAGTTCCCAATTAAATCCGTGTGCTTTCGTCCTGTGAGTTGGGAGTAAACTGGTACTTGCCCATTCCCATGCTTTATCTGGGTCGCCTTTTGTGACTTTTGTTACCGCTGCATATTGCTGATCCAAAACCTTCCATTTCCCCATTTTTCATCATTTCATCTGAAACTACGTAAGATAAGACAACGAGACGTATATACAGCAGTAAGTACACATAATACTGGCTGACGTTTTGCTCCAGTGCGCAGAATCAGTGAACTGTTTGCATAACCTTTGCCCTGAGGTTGCAGCGCTTCATCAATGCCACGTGGGATCAGGATCCAGTGTAAACGCGGCATGGATCTGATCCCCTCGCTTGATTGCTTTCGCTGGATCTGATCCTCCTTTACAAGATCAAGTGTAAACACTGCGAGACTCCCAGGCTGTTTGGTCTTGGAGAGAGTTGACCTGTTGGATCTTATTGCACAGTGCAGGCAAGCCACTTTGACAAATGATGTAGACTGATTTGTCTGGCAGGGTTTCTATCCAAAGTACCAAGGAGGGTGAAGATTATAGAAAACAATCATTCAAAACAGAATACTCTGAGAAATGAAATTTCATACAGCCATTTCAGAAAGGAGAAAAATCATGTACAGTATACCGGTACGCGTGACTGTGTATGTACCCAACTACATGCATGTGATTGATTTTATGTGACAGGTACATGTACCTAATTGGTCTGTCAAAAGTTATTGGTCCATGCTTGTTTTAAGCTGTCGAGTCGAAGTGTTCAAAAGCATTGATGTATGTTCCCTGTTTCTTTTAACTTACCTGAATTCTGTATCATGAACTGAATTTTAATGCTTTGTCAGAAAATCTGCTTTTTATGGTGGTTGTGGTTGAAAAAATGGATTTCTCGTGTGATTATTTTTTCATGCACAAAGAAGAGCCAAAGTGGCACTTGCACATTTGTTGATACTGCATTATTCCAAATTAAAACCTTAAATCGGGAAAATAATTTGGTAGTACATGTATTTCCTTCACACAAGGTTGATGATTAATCCCATTTCACTAGATCAATTGAGCTGCAATCAGACTGAATAACTGTCCTGATCTGGATCTGGGAAAACAAATGTATTACACACCACATTGAAACCACCAAGCACCGAAGTTGGAGTATGGCAGCAATGGTTTTTAAACCTTGTTAGCTCATCTACATGTACATGTGAATCTTTAAAAAATATGATTTTCATATAAGACTTAAAGGTTTTCATGGTGAAAGAAACTAGATCTATAGTAAAGATTGCGGTAACACCATGTATTTATCTCTTCTTTGAGTAT